AATAAGCCTCTACAACAATCAACAAAACAAAAGAAGCAAAACATCAAAAATCAAGAGTGCCAAAGCAGGACTAAAGAATTGATTCATGCATGCCTAGCTGACAATCTCACCAACAGTTGTTATCATCATTTGGCTCATTTGCGGTCAAACTGAAGTTCTTATCTGTGTTAAAATGGTTAATAATTTCTAATTTACCTTTCAAAAAATATAGTTTCAATCTTTACAGTGGGATTACAAGGTTCTCAAAAATTCACTTTAAACAGATAAAAAGCTCAAGATTTTAAAAAACATAAATAAGGAAAAATATCTGAACCTCACTTAACAAACAAAAACATGCAAAGCACAAATGAATTTAAGACATACTAAACATTTTAAGGATCAACATGGCAGAATGGAGCACACCTCTCCCCAAAAACAAAACAGAAATACACCTACAAGTGGAACAATTTTCACAGAAAACCTACTGGAAGCTGGCAAGAGGTCTCTTATTCAATCAAAGCTGTAAGAAAAGATAAAAACACTAATTTGAAAAGATAAATGCACCCCAAAGTTTACAGCAACACTACTTACAATAGCCAAGACATGAAAACAATCAACTCAAGTGCCCATCAACAGATGACTGGCTTAAAAAGATGTGTGCAAAAATAAACTCAGAATGGACTACAGACTTAAATGTAAGGCCAGAAACTATAAATCCCTTAAAGGAAAACATAGGCACTACATTCTGTGACATAAATCACAGCAAGATCCTCTTTGACCCACCTTCCAGTGTAGTAAAAATAAAATCAAAAATAAACAAATGAGACCTAATTAAACATAAAAGCTTTTGCACAGCAAAGGAAACAATAAACAAGATTAAAAGACAACCCTGAGAATGGGAGAAAACAATTGCAACTGACAAAGAATTAATCTCCAAAATATATAAGCAACTCATATAGATCAATATCAGAAAAACAAACTGCCCAGTCAAAAAATGGGTAGAAGACCTAACTGACATTTCTCCAAAGAAGACATACAGATGACCAATAAACATATGAAAAGATGCTCAACATCACTAATTATGAGAGAAATGCAAATCAAAACTACAATGAGGTATCACCTACCAGTCAGAATAGTCATCATTAAAAAAAAAATCTACAAGCAACAAGTACTGGAGTGGATATGGAGGAAAGGGAATCCTCCTATACTGTTGGTGGGAATGGAAATTAATGAAGCCATTATGGAGAACGGTGTGGAGATTTCTTGAAAAGGTAAGAATAAAATCTACCGTATGAAACAGCAATCCCACTACTGGACATATACCCTGAGAAAGCCACAATTCCAAAAGACACATATATCTCAATGTTCATTTCAGGACTATTTACAATAGCCAGAACATTGACGTGACCTAGATGTCCATCTCCAGATGACTGGATAAAAAAGATGTGGTACATATATATATAGTGGAGTATTACTCAGCCATAAAAAAGAATGAATTTGAATCGGTTCTAGTGAGGCAGATGAACCTAGAGTCTGTTATACAGAGTGAAGTAAGTTAGAAAGAGGAAAACAAATAGCATATATTAACACACATATGTGGAATCTAGAAAAATGGTACTGATGAACCTATTTGCTGGGAAAGAATGAAGACACAGATGTAGAACACAGACTTGCAGACACAGTGGGGGAAGGAAAGAGCGGGACTAATGGAGAAAACAGCATCAACATATATACGCTATAATGCATAAAACAGATAGCTGTTGAGAAGTTACTATATAACACAGGAAGCTCAGCCTGGTGCTCTGTGATGCAAGAAGGGAGGGATGGGGGAAGGGGCAAAAAAACCCAAAAAGAAAAAAAAAAGCAAGAATAAGGCCAAAGCAACGTGGTGGAAAAAAAAAACAAAAAAAAAACGGAAAACCAATTTCCCCCAAATAAAAAAGAAAATAAAAAAAAAAAGATGTGTGTGTACAGAATGGAATATTACTTGTCCATAAAAAAGAATGAAATATTGCCATTTGCAGTAACATAATGGACATAGAAATTATCATAGTAAGTGAAGGAAGTTAGATAAAGACAAATATTATATATCACGTATACATATAATCTTAAAGTAATTAATTTATACACGAAACAGAAACAGAATCACAGATTTATAAAATGGACTTATGATCACTGAAGAGCAATGGGAGGGTAGCAATGGGGGACGAAATGAAGAGTATGGAATTAACAGATAAAAATTACTGTACATAAAATAAATAAGCAACAGGATTTTCTATACAGCACAGGAAACTATATTCAATTATTTTTAATAACCTAAAATGGAATATAATCTGGAAAAGGAATATATATACACATATGTATATGTGTGTGTGTGTATCTGAATCACTTTTCTATACACTTGAAACTAATACAATATTGTAAATAAACTATATTACAATAAAAAATGCAAAAACAAGAGATGTTAAGATATATCCAGAAGTTGAAACAACTGTTTTAAGATTTCCAATAAGAGTAAAGAGAAGAAAACAATCTATGACATTAAGGAATATTCTCAGCAAATGAAGAAAGAAAATACTCTTCAGATTAAAAGAGCCAATGAGAATCCATTTTTGAAATCCACATCAGTTACTGAAAACTGAATGTATGATAAATTGAAAATTCTGAATGCCAGGGATAAACAGAAAAGTTTTTAAAGCTCTCCAAAAAAGGGGGGGGGGGGAAGATGTCTTATAAAGGAAAGAATATTTGATTGGCATGAAAATTCTAACCCACAACACCAAATGCTAGATATTCTAAGGAAGGAAATATTTAGAACTCTACACCTAGGTATTTTTATCATTCAAGTGAATAAGAAACAATGCAAAGATTCAAAAGGTTTACTGCGTTCTAAGTCACTTCAGTCATGTCCGACTCTTTGCAAACCTATGAACTACAGCCTGCCAGGCTCCTCTGTCCGCAGGATTCTCCAGGCAAGAAAACTGAAGTGGGTTGCCATGCCCTCCTCCAGGGGATCTTCTTGACCCAGGGATCAAACCTGTGTTTCTCACATCTAACCTGCAATGGCAGGAGGGTTCCTTACCACTAGCGCCACCCGGGAAGCCCAAAAGGCTTACTAACTAACAATTTATTTGGAAAGAATTACTGAAGACTATTTTCCTGAAGACGAACAAATGAGAAGGAAAGAATGGAATATAAGAAAGATTTGTGAACAGAGAACTCTACTCTAAATAATTTTTAGAAAGTTCTAAAAATTTTAAGAGCTTGGAGACTTTCCAAGTACCTTTCCCCCTACCTTTTAGAAACTTCTTTTCACTGTGAAATATAACACACATACAGAGAACTACATAAAGAAAAACGTGTGATTAGTAAATTATTGTAAATGAATATTCTGTGCCTGCATTCAGTCTAGAAGCAGAACATTGCCTCCCTGCCCTTTTCCTAATCAACACCTCTAATCCTTCCCAGCAGCATCCACTAGCAAACATTTATAAAAACCTTGCCCAACAGGTCTACCTAAAAAATTCATTCCTAAATGATACAGCATAATTTTGCCTATTTTTAAACTTGATCTAAATGGGTAATACATACAGCATCTTTTATGTCAGGCATCTTTCACTAAACATTGATGTTTGTGGAGAAACAAAAGCACAATTGCAGGAGAGACTGAGCAATATCTCAACTCCCCACAAGTACCAGGGCTGGTGTTCACCTCTCCTGGACAGCTGCTTCCTAGTTATAAGACGTTTTCTGTGCTAGCAAGACCATTTTATGTCTGCAACAAAACCACTGCTACAATCTTAATCAAGTATTTTCCTGTTCTTTATCAAAATTCCTAAAAAGGGAGAGCAACAGGGAGCTCAATACAGACATCCCAGCCATCCCATCCCAAGAACACCTCTCTACTTGATACCAAGAGCATGGGAGGATAAATGCGCCCAACAGCTGCAGCCTGCAAGTTCTAGCCTACATGGTAGCAATTGCCACTTTGTCTCAACTCTTTAAGCAACAGTGGGGCCCATTATGGAACAAATACGGATTTGACTAGGTCCCAAAGAGAAGAAAGAGCGTCCCAAGTGGCACTAATGGTAAAGAATCCACCCGCCAATGCAGGAAACGCAAGAGACTCAGGTTCAATCCCTGGGTCGGGAAGATCCCCTGGAGGAGAAAATGGCAACCCACTTCAGGATTCTTCCCTAGGAAATCCCATGGACAAAAGAGTCAAGAGCGCTACACCATGGAATTGCAAAAGAGTCAGACATGACTTAGTGACTAACCAACAACACAACATACCACCACTGTGATGATATCCTCATCAAAAAATGCTTAACTTGAATCTAACTGTAAGGAAACAATAAGGCAAATCCAAATTAGGAAACCTGCAAAGCAACTGGTGTAAATTCTTTAAAAAATCACACTTGTGAAAAAAAAAGAAGACAGGAAGTGTACTAGATTAAAGGATACTAAAGAAACACAATGAAGTAATATATGATCCTTCTGAAGGAGCACTTTCATGAAGTATTCCACTGTCTTCAATACACACTCAGAGTTTGGGGGAGCACAAACATAGCAAAATGTTAAAGGCTAAGAGAATTCAAAATGATGGTATAAGGTAAATCAGGAGCTTGTAGCATTAAGAGGCTTTAAAACTAGTTTTTAATTATAAATAGCAATTTTTAATGGCAACTAGTGTAGTTTAATCGCTCAGTCATGTCCAACGCTTTGCGACCCCACAAACTGTAGCCCGCCAGGCCCCTCTGTCCATGGGATTCTCCAGGCAAGAATACTGGAGAGGACTGCCACTCCCTTCTCCAGAGGATCCTCCCGACCCAGGGATCGAACCTGTGTCTCCTGCATTGCAGGCAGATGCTCTACCTTCTGAGCTAAAAGGAAGGTCTAACCAGTGACAGCATTTTTTCTCATTTTTTATGAAACTTCCTCAAACATTCAAGTTCTCGGCCCATCACAGAAAGGGGATTTATGTTGCAGTTAAACAAAAAGCGACTCTAGAGGACACTTACGAGAGCAGGTGGCAGTCTGCCACTCCAGACACTGCCCGTATGGAAAGGAGATTATGTAGGCGTTGGAGTCCACACACCGCCTTGTACTACTGCACCACATACACTCCATGCCGTTGCTCGTGCAGTTGGAACACGACGTCCTTAAAGAGCAGGGCTTTTTGCACGGCCTCGCGTTTTGATTTGGACTAACTGGAATAAATTAACAAAAGATAAGTATTTAATTTCTTAGCTGCCTTTTTGACACAAGGACGTGAGTTCTGTTTGTTTTGTTGTTTAGGGAATGTTTCAATGAAGCCAAGTGGGGGATTAAAAATTAGAGTCAAAATTATATAAGGTAAAAGGAGAATAAAGGTGGCATGTCAATACTTCTTAAATTTATTATCTAATTTGAAACTTATAATACCCTGGAAAATTTTAACCCTTTACAAAGTACATAAAATTGTGTAACTTAATTTTTTTTAATAGAAATGTAATACATGACTTAGGCTTTTGTTTCTATTGGCTAGATAATAGGTATGCTTATCACTAATTACTTTTCAAGCTAGCCACACTTCTACTAATATAAACATTCCACACCTTATAAAAGCAACAAACAATTTACTATAAAATCTTAACATAAAACATAATCTTTATCACACCCATTCGGATTGCTGTTTTAAATGTTAGTAAGGATGTGGAGAAATTGTACCCTGTATACCACTTTTAGGAAAGGCAAAGTGATGAAGCTTCCATAGCAAACAGTATAGCAAGTCCTCAAAAAATTAAACACAGAATTACCATATGATATAGCAATTCCACTTCTGGCTATATACACAAAGACATGAAAGCAGGAACTGAAACAGTTATTTGTACACCCATGTTCACAGCATCATTATTCACTGTAGTCAAAACAGGTGGAAGCAACAAGTATCCACCAATGTATGAAGAGGTAAAGAAAATGTGGAATATAAACACAATGGATAAACATTCAGGTTTAAAGAGGAATGATATTCTGACACATACTACAAGATGGGTGAACTTTGAAAACATTATTCTGAAAGGAAATAAGCCAGTCACAAATGGACAAATACCTCCTGATTCCACTTATATGAGATACTTAGCAGTGGGGTTGGGGAGCGATGAATGGGGAGTTATTGTGTAATGGATATGGAGATATAGTTTGGGAAGATGAAAAAGTTCTGGAGGTGGACAGTGTTGGTAGGTTAACAACAATGTGGATGTACTTAATGACACTAAACTCGACACTTAAAAATGATTTAGAAATCTCAATCATATCTCCAAACCACTGAACGAAAAAATGGCTAAAATTGTAAGTTTGACATTATGTATATTTCACTGCATTACAAAATATAATATTTAAAAAGAGAAAACAATTCAGTACTCCTTTCTCACTTAACAAAACTCCATTTCAAAGGATGTAACAGGAATGCTTCTTTTCACTTGCCAACTGAAATAGATCTATAGGATTAAAATGATTCTAAATTAGTTGCTAATATTAACAATCTTTCCTACAAAAACTATTATTATAAAAGCAAAACAGTAAAAACTTAAGAACAGATTATTACTATAACATCACTATTTTAACCAAGAAATAAAGATTGTATCAAAAAAATACAATTCTATTACTTTTACAAGTTAATGCTGAGGTCACTAACAGTAAATGAGGAAAGTGGACAAAGATAAAATTTACACAGAAATCAGCATCATTAAAAGATGGTGAAAGTTACTTCAGGCCTATGTAGGATCACAGGCTGGAAGGCGGTTGTGGGAAGAAGAGCTGGAAATATAAATTACATCTTTAAAGAAACATTAGTTTACAGGAGTACTTACCAACAGGTTTCTCGCAGACAAGGCCATCTGCCATAGACGTGCAAGGATTAGCTTTTAAGCCTGCCACTGCAGCCCTTTCCAGATACGCACAGAACCCAGAATCATTAGGTTCACCAGGAAGCCACTGTAGTGTTGTATTTGTAAATGGAGACATGTCTTCCCATCCCCAGTAGGATATGTTGATCTTGCGTAAGCCTACCCAAGGTGATACTTTCTGTAAACAACAGCAAAAGTGACATTTTTTAAAAACTGAGACGGAAAAATCCTGTGTCACATTCCTTAGCAAACAGTTCGTTATCTTTAAAAATTACATTTTAAAATATATCGAAGTACCCTTCTAATAACATCAAATACCAAGGGAAATTAACAATCCTAGGACATCTTGGAAAATGATGCATAATAGAACACTATGTTAAAACTGTACATTTAGCGACATGACTCAGGTCATTTATTTAGCCTTTGTGAACCTCAGTTTCCTATTCTATAAAATGGGGGTATGTGATATACATACCTATCTTATGAGAATGCGTGCATGCATGCTAAGTCGCTTCAGTCGAGTCTGACTCTGTGTGACCCTATGGACAACAGCCCACCAGGCTCGTCTGTCCACAGGATTCTCCAGGCAAGAATACTAGAGTGGGCTGCCATTTCCTTCTCCACTTATAAGAATAGATCATTTTTAAAAACAACATATTGTATTGCTACTGTTGTTCCTGATACTTCCAACTCCAGCTGCTATTACTACTGCTACTATCAATCCAATGAGTTATGGAGTTAAGAATCTAAAGCTCAAGTGCCATTATGTGCACTGTGAAAATAGAAAACAAAACCAATGAACACAAAAGAAAAACGAAGGAAAAACTCAAAAGAAGGTTAAAAAAAAAAAAAAAAAGGGCCCCCCCCCAAGTCAAAACCCCAATAAGAAAAGAAGAACTCAAGGCAAGTTTAAAAAAAAATAAGCACCCACCTCCATTATTAAAGAGGTCAAGAAATAAATAATAAAAATCTTTGACCCTGTTGCCTAAAATTTAATTAACAGAGGTTGATAAATGCCACCAAAGTAAATATCCTTAACGCTCTCAGCAATACTTCAAAAGTAGCTTAAAAACAAAATATATTCTGTATTTATATACCTTATTTCAATCATTCCTAAATTTTAAAAGGCTATTCTAATGAGACTAACAAAATAATGATATATTCCTGGGCCAAGCTATTCTCCTTACAAATCCTTTTCGATTGCAAACATCTCTTTTTCTTGTCTTGTTTCTGCTTAGAGTTATACATCTCTTTTCAAGATTTTAATTTTCATTTTTTGTAGCTTAACTGAGGTATAATTGACAAAAGAAAATTATACATATATAAGGTATATGGCATATTTGTTTGGTATATGTGTTTCACACTGTAAATGATCACATCAAGGTAATTAACATTACCCATCACCTCATATAACTCTGTGTGTGTGTGGTAAGAACATATAAGATCTACTCTCTTAACAAATTCCAAGTATACAATATAGTATTATTAACTACAGTCAACTGTCCTATACACTAGATCTCCAGAACTTATTGTCCTGCATAATTGAAACTTTGTATCCTCTGATCTACATCTAAACATCTCTCCTATACCCAACCCCTGGCAACCATTATTGTACTATCTGCTTTTATCAGCTCAACCATTTTAGATTCCACATATAAATGAGAACACCCAATATTTTTCCAAGTCTGGCTTATTTTACATAGCATAAATGTGTCTCCAGGTCCATCCATGTTGTTAAAAACAGAAATTCCTGATTTTTTTAAGTCTGAATAAAATTATACATGTGTGTGTGTGTATATATATGTATATATATATATTTATGTTTGTATATTTTCTTTATCCATCCATGTATCCATTCATGAACACTTAAGCTGTGTCCATAACTTGGCTATTTGGAAATGCACACATCTCTTCAAGATAGTGATTTAATTTCCTTAGGATATAGAACTGGGCTTCCCTGGTGGCTCAGATCGTGAAGAATCCACCTGCATTGTGGGAGACCTGGGTTCGATCTCTGGGTTGGGAAGATCTGCTGGAGGAGGCCATGGCACCCACTCCAGTATTCTTGCCTGGGGAATCCCCATGGACAGAGGAGCCTGGCGGGCTACAGTCCGTGGAGTCGCAAAGAGTCGGACATGACTGACCCACTAAGCAAAGCATAGGATACATAACTAGGTGTGGCACTGTTAGATCGTATATTTTTAATTTGGGGGGGGAAACTCCATACTGTTTTCCAAATTGACTATACCAGTTGTATTCCAACCAACAGTATGTAAGGATTCCTTTTCTCCACATTGTTGCCAATATTTGTTATCTCTTGTCTTTTGGACAACAGCCTTTATAACAAATGTGAGATGATATCTCAATTGATTTTGATTCACACTTCCCTGATGTTTAGTGATGTTGAACTTTTTATAATATACCTGATGGCCATTTGTATGTCTTCTTTGAAAAGTATCCTTTGCCTGTTTTTTAACTGGGTATATTTGTGTGTGTGTGTGTGTGTGTGTGTGTGTTGAGATGCTTGAGTGCCTTATATATTTTGGACAATAACTCTTTTATTAGATATATGTTTTACAAACATTTCCTCCCATTCCTCAGGTTGTCTCTTTATTCTGCTGATTATTTCCTTTGCTATACAGAAGCTTATTAGCTTGACACAATCTCATTTGCTCTTGTCTGTGCTTTTGGGCTCACATTCAAAAAGTCAGTTCCCTGACCAATGTCAACAAGACTTTTCTGCATGTTTGCCTCTGGAAATTTTACAGTTTCAAGTCTTAAAGTTTAAGTCTTTAATTTATTTTGAATTGATTTTTGTATATGGTATGAGAAAAAGAATCCACTTTCATTCTTCTGCATAAGAATATCCAAAATCATTTATTGAAGAGATTGTCCTTTCCCTATCCTGTATTCTTGACACCTCTGGCAAAATTAATTGATCATAAATACATGGATTTATTTAGGGCTTTCTATTATAATATGTCTTGGTGAAGATCTCTTTATGTTCAATCTGCTTGAGGTTCTTTGGGATTAATGGCTCTGGATGTTCATTTCCTCCTCCATATTAGGGAAGTTTCCTGTCATTATATTTTTAAATGAGTTTTCTGTGCCTTCTGGAACTCACATAAAGCATATATTAATTCCTTATGGTCTACAATAAGTTCCCTAGGACCCTGACCAATGTCAACAAGACTTTTCTGCATGTTTGCCTCTGGAAATTTTACAGTTTCAAGTCTTAAAGTTTAAGTCTTTAATTTATTTTGAATTGATTTTTGTATATGGTATGAGAAAAAGAATCCACTTTCATTCTTCTGCATAAGAATATCCAAAATCATTTATTGAAGAGATTGTCCTTTCCCTATCCTGTACTCTTGACACCTCTGGCAAAATTAATTGATCATAAATACATGGATTTATTTAGGGCTTTCTATTATAATATGTCTTGGTGAAGATCTCTTCATGTTCAATCTGCTTGAGGTTCTTTGGGATTAATGGCTCTGGATGTTCATTTCCTCCTCCATATTAGGGAAGCTTCCTGTCATTATATTTTTAAATGAGTTTTCTGTGCCTTCTGGAACTCACATAAAGCATATATTAATTCCTTATGGTCTACAATAAGTTCCCTAGGCTTTCTTCACTTTTTTTCATTCTCTTTTTTTGAACTCTAGGTAATTTCAAATGACTCCTATTTGAGCTTGCTGACTCTTTATTCTGCCTGATAAGAGTCTGCTATTGAAGTTCTATGTGGAATTATCTAGTTCAGTCATTACATTCTTCAGCTCCATTAATTACTCTTGGGTTCTTTTTTATAGTCTGTATGTCTTTTTTGAACCACTCAATTAACTCTTCTTTCATATACTGTTTTCCTAATATTGTGAGGCTGTTTATCTGTGTTTTCTTATAATTCACTGAGCTGCTTTCATTGGTTATTTTGAATTCTTTGTCAGGCAATTTGTAGATCTCCATTTCTTTTGAGTCAGTTGTTATTGTTTAGTTGCTAAGTCATGTCCAACTCTTTGCAACCCCAGGGACTGTAGCCCTCCAGTCTCCTCCTATCCACGGGATTTTCTAGGCAAGAACAGTGGAGCGGGTTGCCTTTTCCTTCTCCAGGGCATCTTCTCAACCCAGGGATCAAATCCGCATCTCCGGCATTGGCAGGCAGCTTCTTTACTGCTGAGCCACTAGAGAAGCCCTGACCTGTGCTTTACTTTGTTCGTTGGTAACGTCACGTTTCCCTGATTTCTCGTGATTCCTATGGCCGTGCACTGGTATCTGCACATGTGAAGAAGTAATCACCTCTCCCAGTCTACAGATTGGCTTCAGTAGGGAAAGTCTTTCTTCAGTCAGCCTATCCAGAGATTCTGGAAGACTGTGTGGTGGGGTCTATGGGCAAGTTTACTGTTGAAGTCCTCAAGTGGGCTGCCCTGGGGCCTAGGCCGTGGGTAAGCAGGCCTAGAATCTGGGTCCAGTGGACCTGTCTGGAGCCTGGGTTCAGACGGAAAAGCCTGGTCCTGGCTCCACTGGAGTGGGTCTGGAGTTTAGGTCTGCATGGACAGACTCAGAACCAAGGGCTCCACAACAGCAGGCCTGGAACCGGAGCCTGGGTGCAGGCCTGGATCCGAGGCTGAAGGGATCACTGTGGCTGAACAGGGCTGGTGGAGACTGAGTACAAAGTGGTGGGCCCGGAACCTGGCCCACAGTGCCAAGCGAGCAAATCTGGTCCACAGGGGCCAGTCTGGAGCCTGCATCTGCGGGAGCCACCCAGAAGCATGCATCCACAGGGCTCACCAGACACTGAAGCAGGCCTTGAGCCTAAACCCACTGAGGCCAGTCTGGTGCTGGGGCAAGCTGGGCACCTGGGCCCACAAGTATAGTCCTAAGGCTGCAAGGGCTAGCCTGGGGCCAGGATCCACTGGGGCAGGCCTGGTCCTGAGTCTGTGAGATAGGTGTGATACCTGCGTCCATGGAGATGGGCCTGGTACCTGGGCTCACAGGGGAGGGCCTAAAGCCTGAGTCCACTGGAATGAGCCTGACCCTTGGTCGGCAGAGGCCAGCCCAAGAGAGGATGTGGATCTTAGGTTTCCTAGAGCCCAGGAATCTATGGGGGCTGGCCTGGAGGCTGGGTCTGTGGGCACCAGTCTGCAGCCTGAGGCCACAGGAGCCAGTCTGGCACTGGAG